CATTGCCGGATTTCAAGCCGAGTGGGGACTGGGCAAAATCCCCTAATTGGATAATCACGAGATAAGACTTACATAGAAAGAAAGCCCACGTTGAGAAATGCAAAATTCCAAAATCTGGCGTCAATCAGTTCAATAGTGAACTAGTTACGGCCTTTCAAATATTCTAAAATTTCCAAAGAAATGTATGGGAAGCCGTGAATGTGTCCGGATTTTGACCATTTTCCGGACACATTCGCGAGATCACATACATTTCTTTGGAAATTTTAGAATGTTTGAAATGCTGTAACTCGTTCACTATTGAACTGATTTACATCAAATTTTGGAACTTTGCATTTCTCAACAAGGGCTTTCTTTCTATGTAAGTCTTATGTCATGACTATCCAATTAGGGGATTTTGCCCAGTCCCCACTCGGCTTGAAATACGGCAATTAGCCAAGAACAAACGACATGCCTTAAAAGCTGATTAATTTTATGCCAATGTCAATATCTTCCTTGGTTTCAGCTCGTGCCGAGAGTATCTTCGCTAAATATCGCAATAGGGAATCAACTACAAGTAATGCAACTGAGTCAAACAGCTCACTATCTTCCACTCCCACGGGTTCTGTTTTTCACTCATCGTCGAGCTCGACATTTTCTGCCAGAAAAGGTTTGTATAAAACATTATACAATCTTCGATAGCTTTGGCAAGTTTATTATTGCCTTATCAAAAAAACATTGCTTACTCTTATTCATTGTAATAATCCATTAGATGACCAGCCWGTGACGTCCACCCCTGCTCAGTCACGTGGGACATCACGTGATTATTTAGTCACTCGCATGTGCTCCCAGCTTCTCTCCAACTCACTAGCATCCTTACAAGGTTTGTTTTTCACAATTTATTGTTTACGATTCGCAAGCTTTTGTGCTGATAGTATACTTCTGTTTGATTCTTCGATTCGTTAAGCGGCTCTTACATTGAAAAATTGTATCAGCAACTTGTCTAACAACGCCGTGACGCAAAGCATGGTAGAACTTGCGTAATTTCTCGTTTCCAAATGTCCGCCATTTTGATTCTGGCTCCCAGGTYTACCTCGGYCAAAAAATATTGCATGGTGCTCTGGAAAATTGCGCAGTCAGCGTTATATTTTTTTAGGCAACTTGCGCCGCAACGGCGTTGCAAGACAAGTTTCTGACAAAATTTGCACGTTGTAACAGCACCTTTAATTTGTTTTTTTTGTTTTTTTGTTTTTTTGTTTTTTTTTTTTTTTCTCATCAACCACTTCAGTGCCTTAAACCTTATGTGCCGTAAAACTACACGATTACGTTAGCCACGCATTTTTTTAATATACTAATTAATGCCACAGCAAAAACTGTATTTATCCCATTTTCTCGATTCATTTTGTTCGCAGAAAATTCCGACCCGTTTTTGAATCCAATGCACGAAAAGATACTGTCTGATGCTCAAAATCTTAAAACCAATTTATCAGCCATCAAACATGACATTCAACAAACGGACGATACTTCAGACGAGAAAGGTTGGTAAGAATAGAAGATTTGAACTATGGCAAGAATACTAATGTCT